GGGGCTGAACCCCCACCGGTAGAGGAGCTGGCCCCCCCAGCCCATCGCGGCAGGGTCTCCCGGTGCCCTACAGACTCCCAAGCCAGGCTGCACCGGTTCGAATCCCGCTTGTACCTCTTCCTAGGTGTGTGGTCTTTGGCACATTTTGGCCTCTCTGTGCCTGGGTTCCTTCAGTGCTCCTGTCTCACTGGAGTAAGGACCGCGGGAGTAGTGTGGGGACAGAGGAGAGAATGACCTGCACTTTTGCTTGGTGGATGTTAACTAGGAGTGTTCCTGTTATTCTCCAGGTCTCAAATGTCTCTGGAGCTCCAGAACTCATAGCCCTTTGACCCCTGATGGGAAATGTTGGAAAAGACTTAAAACAGCAGAAAGGGTGACCTTTACAAAGGCTATTGACCATTGTTCGTGAGACAGAAGCCTTTGTTAGAACGAGGAAGCTGGAGTAGCTGAAATTCAGACATTTGACGCTGATGTGGAAGGAAACTATTTGGGAGCGTATAGACTTTCATTCCAGAAATGATACTTTGGGATGTGTACAAAGTTGAGTGTACTGGGTACTCTCTACTTTAAGAGAGCCAGTTTTCAGGGATGGTAGTCAGGATCTCCAGGCACCTTCCCGGGGCGGGGGTGGGGGGCAGAGCTATACACTGGGGTAGGAGCTGGAGGGCACCCACACATGCCCAGCACCTTGCCCAGCAAGATGGTGGTGGCCAGCCAATTGCAGAGCCAAAATTTCCATTTTTATATCCTTCAGGTCCTCAGCTCTCAGGAGGGACCGCCATAGTTACCTGTTGAGTCAAATCCTAATCACTCATGTCCTGTGACTTCAGCCGGTGGGAGAAGGGATCCCCTCCTGAGCTCCTTCTCTGACACCTCTTGTGCCCCTCATTTTGCAGACATTGACGAGTGTGAGAATGACTACTACAACGGGGGCTGTGTCCACGAGTGCATCAACATCCCAGGGAACTACAGGTGCACCTGCTTTGATGGCTTCATGCTGGCACACGATGGACACAACTGCCTGGGTGAGTGATGCAGCCATGCCCAGCCCCCTGGGCACCGCCTGCCCCCTCTCGACTCTGGCTTGCAGAGTTAGGGGCCGGGGGAAGGCTTGCCCCCATTTGGCTCCTTGTGTTAGGTTACCAGGGCTGCTAACAGCAGTTCTCACAGACTGTGATTTCAACTTCAGAAACCTGTTCTCTCACACATGGGGAAGCTAGAAGTCTGAATTCAAGGTTTCAGTAGGGTTGGTTTCTTCTGAGGCTGCCAGAGAGATTGTCCCAGGCTTCTGACAGCCTCTGGTATTCCTTGGCTTGTCGATGGCATTCCCTGTGTCTTCACATCATCTTAGCTCTAGGCATGTCTGTCTCTGTGTCTGTTTCCCTTTTCAAATTCTTTATTTTTACATTTAATTTTAGTTTTTACTATCAGGTACATGTGCTCACCAGAGACAGAGACACGTAGAGAGGAAAAGTGAAAAATCACCCCGTAGAGGTGGACAGCCACACTTCAGTACCTTCTCCACCATTCTCTACTCCTGCTTTTGGCCATGTACATACATGCACCCAGCGTGATTTTCATCCACTGAGTCTAGAACTCGGACCACATAGTTGGCAATGTGGGATCCAGCCACTTTAACCTCCATGCCAGCTGCCGGCTCCCAACATTTCCCTTTCTTTTGTGTTACAAGTCATATTGGATTAGAGCCCATCCTAATAACCTCAGTTAACCTGTTCACCTGCCAAGACCCCATATCTGAAAGGGTCATGGTCCCAAGTACTGGGGGTTAGGACTTCAGCATCTCTTGAGGGGATATAGCGTAACCCGTAACGGAAGTGGCTTGCAGTCTGTAATACGAGAACATCATGTCATGGTGGAAAGCACATGGTTCTCAGACAGACATGCCTGTTCCTTCTCTCTGCCACGGGCTCTGGGAGAGCAGGAACACAGCACCAGGAGCGTAGGGGGCAGGGACGTGGATTTGGCGGGAGCATCTGTGAATACAGTATTGGCCTGTCTGGGTCACAGTCCCTTGTTGGTAGAGGGAGGCTGCCAAGGCAGAGATAACATGCAGACAGCAGAGGAGAGCGGCCCACGACAGGGGGCTTGAGGTGGCCAGTGGCTGTTCCTGCCATCATGGCCTCTGTGCTCAGTCTTCTCCTCTCAGAAAGGGGGATAATTAGGTAAACACAGCGTTGTGTGTGGGGCTGACATGGCGCCATGCGAAGTGACGTGACTGGCACCCGCTAGGTGCTGAGTACTCCACAAACCCGCCTTGTCATTACTCTGAGTGACTAACCCTGGGTTTGTGGTGAGACGTTTAGGCTGTTTGCTTTATTGTGTGCACTGGCAGAATCTAGAGGTGATTTGGGGCATACAGCTCCTCCTCCTGTTTTCCTAATTGCTTCCTCAGGGATGTTTCCCCAAAGTGGAACTACTGGGCCAGAGGATCATTTGGATTTGCTATGGTTTTCGATGCAGTGCTAACTACAAGGGCTCAGCTGGCCTGTGTGCCAGCTGCTGTGCTGGTGCGTGGTGTAGGAGCACGATATCCTGGGCACTCTGGAACATTTCCTCGTGGCACCACATTAGCCTTCGATTTCCCTGCCGGGGACTGTTTAATGCATGTTGGACCCCAGACACACTCGTTATGGGAAACAGATCTGTGAGCATATAATTACACTCAAAATATGGGCCCAAAGGGACCAGCAGTTAGCATAATGGCTATGTCGCTGGACTCCCATGTAGTTGGCCGCGGTTCGAGTCCCGGACCCGGTGGCTTAAACTCACGCCGGGCATGTGTACGTGCGTGCGTGCCCAAGATCCCAAGAAGAGAATGGAGGAGAAGGGATTATGGTGTGGCCATCTCCCCTGGGAGGTGATTTCTCACTTTCTATCTCTCTATCTCTCTCTGTTTTTCCAGCAAGCGCAAGCGCCCTATAGCAAAAACCTCTCTGGAAAAAAAAAATATATATATATACATAGATATATAGATATAGGCCCAAACAGAGGTCCGGGCGGCATGCTGTTGCAGCCCAGAGAGGCTTGTGAAGAGCTATCCCTAGATAGGGTGAGAGTGGGGATGAAAAGGGGACGAACAAGGAGGCTTCCCAGAGGAGGCAGCATTGAACAGCATCTCCAAAGGCTGGGGAGAAGCTTGTCGACTCGAGGACACAGCCTGGGGAGAGAGCTGCAGGCAGCTGCTCCCAGTGCTAGGGAGGTTGCAGAGCCCCTGATTAGATTGTGAAGAACTGAGCGTGTGCAGCATTTATTGTACCAAACCCCGGGCTAAGTGTCGCCCAACTATTATCTCACGGAACCCTCCCAAAGCATGAGCGCATAGCTTTCCCTAGTGTTGGCTCCTTTTCCAGGGCATGGAGCACATTTCAGTGACTGAGTAGTCAGTCCAGGCAGAGCTGGCAGGTCCTGGGTGATAGCCAGTGAAAAACAGGCCTTAGGAACAGGATCCCGAACTGGGGCTTAAAATCTGGCTTTCTGGAGGCCGGCAGTGTGAGCCTGGGCCAGTCCCTTCCCCTCTCCAGGTCTGTTTTCTCACCTGTAGAAATGGCTGCACAGTCTCCACCTCGTAGGGTCTCAGGAAGGTTAAATGAGGTGATGGTTGTAGATCGTGTAACAGACTGCCTGGCATAGGACCCGCAAAGCGAAGTGGGCATCGATCACATGATCGGCCTCCAGATGAGACGTGTGGCTGTGACTGCTTAGGTGTCTCCGAGAGCTCATGGGGTAGAGCCCACTGCACTCCTGGGCTGTGTCTGGTGCCCAGGCTCCCCTCCCGGCCGCGGCACTCTGACCTGTGCCAAAGCACTTGTTTGTGAACAGCCTGGCTCTGGACAGCCCAGGTACCCCGAGAGCCTGCGGCACCCCGCATCAGCATCCTCCAGACTGACACGGTCTTTGTGCATATTCATCTCAACAGCCTTCTTTCCTCAGCGTATTGTTTTTGCACTGATTAGAAGAACCAGGTGAGACTCTCCTCCCCTTACTCCACCACGTATGATCCCAGACTGCAGCTTCACATGGCTCTTACTTACACACATGGCTGCCAAGAAAAGGCTCTCTCTGTTGCTTCTCTGCCTTTAGCTGAGGGTAGACCCTTCCCGACAGACTTCTTTTTGTTTGGTCTTTCTCCTCCTTAGGACACAATTCTGACTCTAGAGAAGTCAGACCTTGGTTTTAACCAGCTCTTACCCAGACTGACTATGTGACCTCTGGCTGCTTGGTTGACCTTTTGAAGCCTCAGCCCCTTCATCTGACTGGAAGAAGGGGAGTACTTGGTAGTGTCCAGCCCATGGCAGCAGCCCTCTAAGCTTCAGTTACCCTACCGTGACATGGGTCCGTAATACCTGTCTCACAGGGTCGGAGTGGCCATTACATTTGCAAGTAGGTGTGTAGGGCTATTCATACAGATGGGAACTTCCATCACGTGCTGGGCGTTGTCATCACGTTGAAGCAGAGGACTCGAGCTGGCAGCCTTCAGTCCTCATCTGGCCCACAAACGTGTTTCAGTTACCCGCAGTAGTGATGGTGGTGTTACTACTGAACTGCTTGTCAACACTTAAAAATTAGGGGCTAGCACATGAAAATCAATGTTTCCAGCATCACTCCTGCTCGGCCACCCAGCCCCTGCCAGTTGTGGGACTTGAGGCAGGAGTGCAAATGGAAGCTCATGTCCCCCGTGCCTAAATACTTTAAAGTAATTATGAAGCTACAAAACTAGAATCTATTCTCTATTTCTTCTCCCTTTACCGATATTCCTTCCTAATGACCTGGAAGGCTAGAATTGAATTTAGAATTCTAGGATTCTGGAGTTCATGCCAGAAAGTGGCAGTGTGGGCAGTGCTTGCTCACCACCCGCACCCTGCCACCCCCCTGCAAGCTCCATCCCCCTCTTCTTGAGACTGAGGACACCCTAACCTGCATGTTTAAACTCTAGCCATTCACCCCTCTGAGAACCGACAGGCTTAGGGCCATTTGGGCAGGGAACTGCAGGGTCTCAGATACCCATGATTCCCCTGAGAGTCCCTTCCTTCATGGGAGTGAGGACTGCACCCATAGGAGAGGCAGAGCAGGGATCCCCCAACTGGAGGTTCTTGCCCACATCTCTGTGTGGCTGGCTGCAATGGGAGGGGGCTACATTGCAGCTGCCTGCTTTGAAAAGGGCGTGTGCTCTCCTGTTTGCCCCAGTCCCCACCATTCCCTAGTGCTCACAGCCTGCCAGCTGTGGTCACTTAACTACTTACCTGAAATTGTGTTCCTATGTTTAATGCAGCTTCCAGCACAGGCCTGCCTCTGTGGGTGTTTGGCGGCTGTGAGGCTGCCCAAGTTATAGAAGGTTCTCTGTTCTCACTGCCTTGTGCTGTCCTGCCTGCCTCTGGTCAGTCGCTGAGCTTCACCCCACAAGCCATCACCCGTTGGGAACTGTTAGGTCTTTTTGCATCTTCTTGTCTCCAAAAGTCTGGCTCAAGTGTCTTATCCAGCCAGAGTATTCCTCCCTGAACCACTGCTGAATTCCTCAGGGGTGATGGCTGGGGGCAAACCCCAATCACCCCCAAAATAAACAACATGGCTTGAAAGAGGCCCAAGTTCACTGGGAGAAATGAGGCAGATGGCTTAAGGGTTATTTTCCTCCCTGAGTCTTCACAGTTGAACCTTTTCTTTCCCAAAAACGAGGTTATTTTCTTGTGGAGATGGCTTGCCTGTGACTGTGTCATGGATGGGGGCCAAATGTGTCCTCTGAGGAGCAAAACCCTCTCTCTATTTGACATCTTTATTGAGGAATTTCTCAAATATAACAGAAAATGACACCAGAGGGAATTGAAACCACGATGAGATCTTGCTCAACCCCAAATGGCTGCTTTTAGCTGTGTAATTACTTGAAATAGCAGTAGTTCTGCTTGAAAAATATTATCCCAAACTCCATGCATTTGGACAGCAGAGCAATATTTAGGCTAATAGAATAAGATTTTTTTTCATCTTAAATTAAAACCAGCAGTGGATAATTTCT